CCCACTGCTTGCTGGGAAAGGCTCCGGCTCTTACGTGACCATAAATTGGAAATAGCGATTTAAAATTGGATGGATGGAACTGAGGATCATGATAGAAAATAAATACATATAAATTGCCCTCCTGTTGTGATCTTTTGATCATTCTTTTCAGAAGCTAAATTTAATTGATACATTTCTGAAGTTAATTTATAATAGGAAGCAGGGCACAAATGATTAGCAAGAAACAAGACTTCATGGCTACTTTGGAGTGGTTCATTTTGTTTGTCTATGCTCCTAAGAATTAAAAAAGGGAAAGTATTTTTAAGAAGTAGATATTCACTCTCTAGAGTGTATAACCCATTCTCTAGAAACGTTGTCAAGTACTTGATTAAAACATAAAACTTAGAGAAAGGGGTCACAGGCAGTAATATATCATTTAAATAAGCCCTATTACACTGCATAACAATAATATCATTGAGTTGTGAATAGCGTTGTCAAAGATATATAGTTCTGTCTGTGATTTAGATCTTTTATGTTTTATAGCCAAAAACCTAAGAAACTTGGGCAATTTATGTTTCACCTCAACTGTTGAGTTCAGTTGACAGCTTTGGTAGTGGGAGATTAATAGAAGAAATGCTGTTCAGATTTCTTGAAATTAATATTTAGTATGATGTAGGGACCAAAAATGGAATGGGACAGTGGTGAACCAGATAAATAGCCTGAGAGTGTTTAAAAGTTTCACCAAGAAAGGTTCCATAGATGGCTGATATGTCAGCAGCACGTAAAGTCAGCTACATTGCGTAAATCTGTCCCAGCTGCATCAAAGCAGCCCTGTACAGTAATTGTTATTGTTGAAATGTTTACACAGAATGTCATTTTTCTTTCTCTCCCTCTCTGCTTTCCTTGAAAAACAAATAAAATCAGGGCAAAGAGATAGCATTTCCAAGAAATGCCATGACGCTGAAGAATGTAATATTTGGAGAGTTTAATTTTTTTGAAAGTGATAGCGACGTGTGACGCGAGCTGTTTCTGGAAGTTGATACTGTCGGGCAGACCTAAGTTTCATGGCTTTGGCCAACGCTATCCAGATGCCTTTCATATACAGTGCAGAAAACGCTCGCAAAGACCGTGCGTCTCTTCATTCACTAGCATTTAGTACATTCGAGCCTGTCTGTAAATCTGGCACAGCTACCATTACCACAATCTGACCAGCGTGCCTTGCCCTCTCAGAATAATGGACACCAATTTGTGGTGAAAAACGTCTGCTAACTAACATGGGAGTCTTCAGTTTTTCAAAGTAGGATTTTAAATCTGTGTATCAGACTGTGCTTTGTGTAAAACATACACACATTTGGCGAAGGTTTTCAATTTTTCATTTCAGAAATAGTTACAAGTTAAAAAAGTATAACATATCATTTAGCTTGTGAGTATGGATTATACGTGAAAGTCCCAGGGCATTCTCTGCTTAACTAGAGACTTCAAATTTAGTCTAATTTGATGTCCAGTTGCACTCCTTTGGGTATTTTCATCCTTAAAAAAGACTAGAGCCCTAGCTAACAATGAGAACAACCACAATGCTACACCGCATGGAAGCCTCTATCACATTAAACAAATTATCTGCTGAGTGTTTTGACTGCCTATGTAGTTGAAGACATACCTGGAAGGCTTTGCAGATTATACAAACACTACTTTATTTATTTATTTTTGTGGAGGTCCTGATCTCTCGCCATTCCCCGGTATGGCTCGGGCCACAATGTAGCTGTAATGTGAGGACACTTTCTGAAGTTCCAAGCTTCTATCAGTCTCCGTGGAACAGTCCATCTCAGAGCCTTCCGGTTGATTGTGCCCAGCAGAAAATAAGCACTGCAGCTCTAGACAGAAAAGGCTATGTTTGGATACTTACAAGTTCCCATCCCCTGCTCTGAAGCAGATCGAGTGCATCTCCAGCATCCCTGGGAATGGGTTACCTGCGGGACCCCCTCGAGAGACAGTTTAGCTATTTGGATTTCTTGTGAGGACTGGCGCTGGGGGACTGCCATCCCAGATGTTCTGCGGCACACAGACAGCCCACTCTGGCATATTTACCCAGCTGTGTCTCATCCAGCCTCCACCCCCGTACTCCCCAGAGACAGCACCCCTCTCAGTCCTGCGATCGGGAGAGTCTGGGTCCAGACCCGTCCCTTTCACCCAAAGAGCATATTTATAGAAGCTACTGAACTGCAACAGCAGACAAGAGGATCTTGCATCTTAAAAGTCGATCTCTGTGAGTTCTACATTTCCTTTAGATCTCGAAGTTGTTTTTAGAATTTGAAAGTGGTCATTGCCGTTTCTCAATTTTTCTTGATCATTTTGAACTCGGGGTCCCCGTGATCGATAAAACCCTTTGGCTCCTCTTTGAAAAGAGGGGAGAGGAAACACTTTTGGTTTCGGCTCTCTGCTGGCTTGTATCTGTCAGTGCAGCCGAGGTGTGCTTGAGAATTCATCGCGTGCGTCTCTGAGAAGAGACCTCTGAGATCAGATTACACCTTTCGGCCTGGCTTCCCCTGTTGTGATTGCTGAGCTCGTTTTCAGAAGGCCCCGGCAAACCAGGGGTTTGATTAACAAAGGTTTTCTCTGTCCTCTGTCAGCAGAACACACTCCAGGGCTCAGCTCCCAGAAAAAAAGCTACAAGAATTTAAACAATAGGGCAGACAGAAAAAAAAAAAGAAAGGGCTTAAAAAAACAGGCACGAAGGGTTAACAGAATTCTCATTATCACAGTCTATTAAGCCGAGACCAGGAAACAATTTCTAATCAACACTGGGACCTGGGCTGGGATTCGCCAGGCTTTTGTCTGCGGCCTCAGATCACTGCGCTGCTTTCACACGCGCTCCTTTCCAGCTGTTGTCCTTGAAATCCCACATAATCTCCCAGGGTCAAAGGGCAGTCAGCCATGACGATGGCAGTTAAAAGGTTATGCTGATTTCTCTCGTCCAACGCAAAGTGGAAATGGTCTCCCAACTGATAATCCCCATTAGCACCCTTTTCTTGTTTCTCCTCAGGGCTCTGGATTTTGTAGGTAAATAAGAAAATATAAAAACCTATGATCATTTTCCTGGTTTCCCACAGCACCTACAAAAATACCTCAATCTAAGCCATTTATTACAGTGATATATCACTGCAAAACCATTTCTGAAGGAACATGGGATGCTTCCAAAACTATTTATTAAATATTTCCTTTGCTGAACTATGTTTGTTGTTTTTGTCACACTCCGTGTTTTTTGGAGTGTCACGTCCTCTATTTAAAGTAGTCCTTTTCCATCTATTTTAGCTTCTTTTCTTAATTTTTCATTCTCGTATGGTTTCTAGAGGGAAGACGCTACTTTAGTTTAACAGCAGGTTGATTAATGAAAGAAAATAGTAATAACCATAAAGTCTGAAAATAGCCTGGGATGATGTTCTTTCTGTATAAGATCAGATAGTAGAAAAGAAATGAGAAATCTGCTTGTCTCCAAATGATTTATGATTTAGGAGACATCAATAAAAATATCTAAACAGTCTTTTGAAAACTCTCTTTTGAAAAGGATATTGCAATGACCCTAAGGGAAAGCTTTGTACAGTATAGTACAAAAAGCTCTCATCCACTTAAAGACCTTGACTCCATAACTTGGTTTTAAAATCTTCCCTATGTATTGAAATCAAGATATACTTGTTTGACTTTTAGGCTCAGTGTTGCAACATTAATATCATAGGTTTATATTGAAGCTCATCAGGACACTATTGCAGCGAATGTTGGGCGAACCTGTTGTCTTCTCCATTGCTGACAGGGTCTATGGTCCAGAACACAAAGAGTATGTTCTGGGAAAGATTGTACAACAGATTGTGTCCACATTTTCCACTCATATTTATGGTGCTCATCCACATCAGGGTGTAAAAACCCAACTGTGCAGCCAGTCAATCTTGGGAATATTAAGTCTCCATTATCCTTATTTTTTTTGCTGCTGTCCTTGGTAATGTTCTCTGTCAACCAGGCAGTTTATAGGAAGAACCAGAGTGGGAGATTCAGTGGCAGTAGTCGAGTGTCCACTAGCCTTGGAGTATCTTCAGTCAGATCCATATCATTGCCTTTTTGTCTTCCCATCATATCCCTGGAATGATAAACTAGCTCTTTTCTTTTTCCTTGTTGTTCAAGAAAATGGAAACAGTGTAGCCCTGCTTATTTTCACTTACGTAGGCCATTTAGAGATCAATGGTTTCCAGTTTTCTGATGACACAGAAGTAAATGATGTCTGGGGTGGGACTTGTGGAATGCTTCTTGGTTAGCAGCCTCAGTATTGTGTTTTTTTTTTCACTGCTTAAAAACTTTGAAACTTCTGCTCTTAATGAAGATGTTCTGCTTTAGATAAGTACTGTAGTGTAATCTTGTGTGATTAGCAATTACTTTGCACTGCATGTTCTGTAATTAATAATAATAATAATAATAATAATAATAATAATAATAAACTTTATTTTATATAGCGCCTTTAAAGGTGGCTTCTCAAAACGCTTTACAGGATGACAATAACAATAGATAAGAAGACTACAACAATAAATAAGAAGATTTCACAAGATAAGACACAATTACAATTACAGCAATACAACAATAACAATAGAGGAGACCGTGGAAGGTGGTACTAAGAAGAGCAGAGGGGTGAAGAATGGAACCAGTTAAGTAAAGGCTTTTCTGAAGAAGAAGGTTTTGAGTCTGGATTTGAAGGAGTTTAGAGCAGGTGACTCTCTGATATCCTTGGGCAAAGAGTTCCAGAGCTTGGGGGCATAACAGGAGAAGCCCCTGTCGCCCACACAATGTAGACGGGTTTGGGGGACAGTAAGGAGGGCAGAATTTGAAGAGCAGAGGTTGCGAGGTGGGGAGTAGTTTGTAGTTTGCGTAACTCATAAAGAATGGGAAGCTGAGGTTCTACAGATTTCTACAGATTTCGTGTGTGTGGGGGGGGCTAGGAGTTTGAAGCTGACACTCTGCCTTCTCTCTCCTCTCCTTTGCAGGACACTTGGGCTTCCAGGACAGTTTCGTCACATCAGGTGTCTTCAGCGTCACTGAGCTCGTTCGAGTGTCACAAAGTAAGTAAGGCTTCATTCTGCCACGTTTTAAGAAGCACCCACTGGGGCATGGTTATCTGCATTGCACAGGAATTAACAGGGGAGGGTGGTGGTGGTGGGGGGGGTTTGCGTTCCATTTTATTTATTCGAACCCTTTATAAGTAGGTGCACAAGCCGGAACATTACATGACCCAATAAATCTATCTGACCCTCAGCAGCCAAGCCCTTTCGTGTCAGTATGGACTGCAGCCTTGATGGTCTTTAAGTCATTTGTGGGTAAATACTTTTATATTAATAAAATCAGCAGAATGTGCACCGTTCACATGAACACCATCAGCTAAGTCAAAGATCAGAGAAGGATTCTGCAGATTATATAACCCTTTGCCTCCAGGATGTACTCTGAATGTAACATTAATATGCACATTAGTAATACATGAAGTAGAACAGTGATACTACTGAGGGATATAATTGATGTGATTCATTTAAAAGGGAACGTACTGCTTTTAAATAGCCCATTTCGATATTATCCAGATATTAGGTTTGCAGGTTATACTAAAAAAAGAGTTAAACAATAAGGTCTCTCTTACAACTAATGCAACTCATAGGTGTGTGAATCTCTGATTTCCCACAAACTCCATATGAGTATGAACCCTAAAGCTAATTTCACCTTCCTCACAAACCACAGATACACATGCACGTTCTGTGGCTCTCTCTGTAGCCGTGCCTGGGTGCAGAATCTAGGCACAAAGCATAGACTATGAAAGATCAGTAATCTGCAATGAGGTAATATTCAAAACACTTTTTGGGGTATTTAGAGCAAAACACAGGAATATTGTCATAAAACAGTATGGTACCGTTGTTTGTTGAAACATATAATGGTCAATGGGAAAAGCAAATTAAACCTTGAGGTCATGAAAGAGTGCTCACGGGCACTTAGGTTAGCTTACAGTGCTTCCATTGTTGAGTTGAGATGCTTTCTTAGTTTTAGGTAAGTTTGTCTGTCCTGTAGCATTCTTGTCCAAGTTTTTAAGGGGCAGCTTTGAGTGTATTCAACTTGACAGGCATCCTATTTCAGTTTCCTTCATGTCTACTCATTGCATTTTAATTGGATGTGTGTCATTTGAGTGTAATTCTAGTGCAGAATGTGGATCCTTTTCCTTTTGGGAGTTCTATTGTAGAACCAACATTACGTTTCCTATTATATTTTGTAATGAGACCCTACTTTCAACAGCTTAATGTAATTTTCCTTTATTTTGTGGTCCTTAAGCAAACTGCTACGAGCTGTGCTCACCTACATTTTTAAAATTGAAAATATTTTGAGTCCCTCATGCTCGTGTCTTTCGTGTCCAGAAAACAGAGCACTGTACTGTACAGTATGTGATACTCTACATTACTGGATGTCTGCTTATGTTATTCTATCTGATTGTAAGAAGGGATGCGCTGTGTTTCAGTTCATCCCATAATGAAAGTGTTATAGAAGGAATCAGGTGACAGGATTGCTTGAATTGAGAGATGCTTACAAACTTGCCTGTGCGCTCTTGGGGAAAAAAATCAGGGAACAAGCCTGATGCAGTCTATATGTAGAGAATAGTTTCTTTCTGAAAAGGCTTTAAGCAACAGTACCTTCTCTGACTTACTTGGGATTGCTTTTCTTCCTAATATTGTTCAACAAAAAATAGGAAAAGTGTTCTTGTGTTGTGCAAATCAAGGACTACACCAAAACTCAGAAAAGGCCAGGCTTAGACATTGCATAATATTGTCAGAACTTAAATATAGTTTTTGTGTGTTGGACAACCAAAGCTGCTCTCTAGATATATTTAGACTGACCCAGCTGGGAATGCCAACATCATCTCCTTGAAACTAGACAGTACTGGTTCAGGTCCCAGACTTAATAGTGTGTTACAGCCACTGACACATTTAACCAGTGTTTTAACATTCTGCACATACAGCATCATTTAACTGAATCAGATTTTATACAGCTATAAATACCATGTGCACAGTATACTATACACTGTATACAGTATATGTCAAACAGTGAGATATTGCACTCACAACATTCAAGGATTTAATTTAAACATTTTGGGAACATAATTCGGTCTGATTATTTTTTTTAACTGATGCAAAATCACATTTATTATCATACAGATGAAGGTGGGTTTGCTGAGACATCCCTGACATTTTAGCCGGTAGTGTGATCAGGAGCAGCAGTCTGTGTCAAACACAATTTAAATGCCCAACAATCCATTGCACTTTTAATTACAGCTGAGCAAGCACTGCCCTTTTTCCCTGCTAGATGTTTGTGTATTTTCAGTTGCACTGTGTTGCTCAAGTCTGTTAGCAGAGCGCATCTGTTTCTGTTTGCAAAATAAACACCACTGAAAATTGTGTTTACTCTTCTGCAGTTTTGTGGCTTAATGCTTGATAATATTAGTTACAGTTGTTTATTCACAGTGTATTGAGGGATAATTAGTAGTTGAGTAACTAACTTTTAAGAAAACGTTCCATCTGTAGAAAAATGTCCACATGTCGTTTAGCTCTGCGTTTGTGATTAGTCCGCAAGCGCTAATATTTAAAACTCTGCATGGGTCAAGGGTTGTTCATCGGAGATGGCTAAGAGGGGTGTTATCTTAAAAGCATTTTCTAAGGAGAAGAACACAGCATGGCCATAAACACATTCTGAATAGGTCTTGAAGTTTCCTTGGGCATTTCCCATGGATTTGTTTGGTCACTAACTTTTGGGTTCTTTGAAGAAACATCCAAAAAGAGTTTTCGACCATAAAGACGGTATTTCTTTGGGATAAGGGCAGTTTGAGTTTCCCGACGTGACACCGTCTGACAGTGATGCTGTTGAAGCCTGGGTGCTGGGGCAGATGAAGAGGGGGGTGGGGGGTTGAGTTTACTGTAGGTTTGGCTCTCGTTCTGCTGTAGTTAAAGGCTGCTGGGGGACGAGGAAGCAGGAGTGGCGCTTCACTTGACCTTTAAAAACTGCAGACATCCACCGCGGAGACTGACAGACCGCAGCCAGATCCATAGCAGCCTGTCAATATCCGCTAACAATAGCGAATTCAAACTGCCTGTCAGCACTCACAGGCCCCTGATCAAAGGTGCATTGATCATGTTCTGGTGCGACCTAATCCAGGTCTGCCAGGGACTGAGCAGCAGCACCCACAGCAAGAGAGCGAGGTGTATGTGTGTGTGTGTGTGTGTGGCGGGGGGTGGGGGGTCCGGCGAGCACACAAAGGCAGCATCTGGAAGGGGAAGTGTCTGAGCACTGGGGGGTGCTGTGGCTGCTGGGTGACTGTGGGAGAGTGAGCAGGGAGGAGAGGTGCAAGAGGGGGCTCAGGGATGGAATCGGGGGGGAGGAGGAGATGTGTTATTAGCACGATTAGCACACCCAGTGCCCCCATGGCCGCCTGCATCAGAGGCCTATGATCGTAACAAGATTAAGGAATATGCATAATTGATCCAGTTTTCTGAAAGGCGAGCGGCTTTTATCCTAACATCTGTGACATGGGGGAAGAAAAAGAAAAGCTGGGTGGCATATGCCGGATGGAGCACTGAAATTGAAAGTCTCTTTTTCAATTTTTTTCATCCTGGCCGGCCCAGTGAGTGGCAGTGCACGCAGGGGTGTGAGGGGGGAATGCGGGGGAGGCGTGTTTGTTTGGATAGAAGTGGTTGCCTTACCCTTTCCGAAGGTGCAGCTTGGATACCTGCAGGATCTGGGGGTGTGCAAGAAAGTGGGGGGGGGGACCTTCCCAGTTTCTTTTGTTGACGCAGGTTCCTTGCTGGGAACGTCTTTCAGCCCAAAACACAATTCAAAGCTGTGCCTGTGTGCTCATATGTGTGTCGTAAATTGTACTTTAGCTGACATCCAAGAAGGTTTTGTTATTTCTGTGGGTGTGTGTGCTTGGTCTTGATGTCTTGATTTCAGGTAATTTGCACTGCTTTTAAAGTGTTAATAGACTTTTGTATTTATTGGTTCATTAGCCCCTCGCTGCACTGTTAGTTGTGAAAAACTGGAAACGCTTGCAGTAGGGAGTTTGTTTTAATTGCTCATCTCTTTCCCTCTGGTTTTACTTTTTCTTTCTTAGCACAGGTCTTCTTCTCTAGGAATTCTAGTGAAATGTCTTCCATACAGGATCTGGGAGTTCAACTCCACTGGCAGTCAAATGTCACCAAATTTAAATTGTATCTTTTCCTCAGCTGTTTTTCCTTTCATACACGAATGAAACCAATGGTCTGCTCTTTGGCGATGCAGTTTCCCTGTTTGTTGTTTAGTACAATCCCGCCACTGCATCTCTGTAACTATCTACCATGAGCTTTGCTGTGTGCAACTTCAGGGAATTGCATAAGCATGCAAACATGTGTGAGTATCTGTGTGTGTGTGTGTGCCATTGTGTGACTTTATGATGTAATTAGGGGAATGAGCAGAAAGGCAGAGCCAGTGCAGTTTCCCCATGTGCGGCTGGAGACTAAAGGTCATGGTATTGAATGGACTGCAGACTCTGCTGCTCAGCTCTCACATTGACCTTGGCTTTGTGTGCCATTACACAATTCAGTGGCAGCCCAATCGAATCTGCTTCTGTCGATCAATATCCTATTAAAGCTGCACAAAAGTCTCCATAAAGTTAGCGGTTAGCTACGTTTGTAAATGGAACTCCACATAATTGGCCGGTCAATAGCGACGGGTAATTTCGGAGATTGGGTCCGCCCTTTCATTCTCGGGCTCCTGCTCTGCAGAGGCAGCTGTGGGTCATTTGTCTGACATGCAGAGATTAGAAGATGCCCTACACTGTCAGCTCAAAACATTCCATGCACTTCCCCCTGTTTTGGAAATCTGCAAGCACACCTAATAAAGTATGCCATCTTCCCAGGGCTTGGTATATGCCAGGCATAAATATGGTTATAGAGGAAGCTGACTGCTTTATTCTTTCTGTGTCTTACTGCTCCTCACTAGGCTGTGCCAAGATATGGAAAGGTGGCACAACAGGATGTATCAGAAATCTAAAAAACAGATTCATTTGAATTTTTGAACTCTTCCCTTAATCGACTCTTGATTTATGTCGGCCATCTTTCTTCCACCTCCAGATCTGAGATAGAACCTTGGCTTTCATCCTGTTGTTTCCTTTCTCCATTCGCACTTATCTTTTGTCTCTCTTCCCTCTCCTTTTTGTCATCCTTTATCAGCCTTTGCTGTTTCTCCTTCTGTTTTTTATTTAAAAAAAAACAAATTGTATCCATTTCTAATCTGCCTCCCACTTCCCCAGAAGAAATAAAACGGAAGAATCTCAGGATCTCAGTCTCACAAAGAGCCGCACAAAGGTGGTAGTTTCACTCCTCTCTTATTACCTGCAATCCCTCCCAGAAGCTGTTTATAGAAAAGGGCTTTTATTTTAATTTTATTAAAGGTACTGTCAAAACTGGCAGAGGGTCCTCAGTCTGGGCTGGGGCACCAGGAATTGGCTCAGCCTGCAGTGCTGAAAACTCCACACTGGCACTGGAAATGTGAGACATGTGATGAAAAGGGAATAGAGGATAAATAATAAAGGAGGAGAATCAGAGCCCAGTGGAATCCTAGGCCTAGCCCAGACGCCACAAGCTTTTCCAGATTAGTTGCTGGGATAATTGTAAGACCTGTCCAGATTGCTGAATGTCATCATCGAAGTGTCATCGGTGTGCTATGTGCATTGAATGACTAATGATGGTCAAGATGAAAAAATTACTAAAAGGAAACATTTTAGAAAAATGTGATTCTTGATTTATGGTTTATCTCGGCTTTACCTCTAACACCATGCTGCTTTGTGGTTTTATGATATTACTCACTTTTGTTGGAACTTTTGTTGGTCCTTGACAATGTGGGAGGTCCCAACCGTGAGTGAGGTTATGACCTGTGTGATGGGGTGTCGCAGCGATGATCGTATGAAGGTTGGCCAAAACTATGAAAATTGCCCCAAAAAGCACTGTTTGTGTATTTTGTTTTGCATATAATTGAAGTTTTTATGCTTCTACGTATAACAATGTATAAATGCTCTGGCCATGAGTAAGGGATCTTGCAGTTGGAATGAGTATCACTCACTGTAGACACTCTTCGACTGCTCTGACAGAGGGTAGAGTAAAGAGCCATTTTAGAATAACAACCCTGCCAAAACGTTCTCCTCCCCAAACCCTGGCAAGTCTGGACCCCAGTTTGCTCTTCCTCTTAAGTTCACAGACAAGTTCAAAGGCTTTTCCAAGTTGTGATTTGGACTGGTTGAGTCTCAAGGTTAATTACTGTGGTCTAACCTAGGCAAGTATGGAAGGCCAAGAGTCCAACAGAATTCCTGCAGCAATGGCAGATCTGGAGGGTTGATTCAAATTACAAAGGAAAGTTCAAAGAAGTCAGACTCTCCTTCTGCAAACTGTAACCCCAAATCTAGAAATATTTTAAAAAGATTAGAGTGTTTGGAGAAAGTTACTCCAGGTTGCATCTCTTCACTGGGTTCAGAATGCAGCTTGCTGAAGATGCTGGATCAATAAAGCTACCAGAAGCTAAACAGAAAAGATGGGTTGAATGACTTCCTTTTATTTGTAACCGTAGGTTTTTGTGTTCTGATCTGAACCCATTTGTTGCCGTGTTTGCAGTTTTATTTTTCATTTGATACCACTGCTTCAGGGCTTGCAGGATGTGCATTTCCTTTGCTTGTTTTAGGGCTGATCGTTTGGCTATGCCTTCTTCACTTTCAGTTGTACTATTTCAGACTGAAGAAGTTCCTCGGGGGCCAGAGCTGATTGAGCAAAACACCATATTCTTGTCAGGGGCTGAGGTTTCAGGGCCTGTCAAATAGGGGCTTATAATATGAAAAAGGCTGGTTCTGTGGAGAGGATCATCCAGTTTTGAAGTTGGATGCAGCCTTTTGATGTCAATTTGCAAACTGGAATATGGACCAGTTTTCAAAGGAAGCCCTTGCAGCTTTCTGTGGCCTCTGGCCCTGATGAACTAGCTGGGAAGAACATCAGTTGAAAGTCAGCCCACTTACACCAGTCTATGATGTTGCTTGGAAATAAAAAAACAATCTCGACTCTTGATCCCTCTCATATTGCTGTCCCTATGCTGTGTATGGACTAATACTTTGAGTCCCAGTGCTCTTGTTGAGCTGGCTGCCTGCGCAGTCACCCCAGCTTGATTTCCTTTGACTCAGACCTACGCTGGTCAGCCTGCATGGCTAATGTATAAGTTCGGCTTGCACAAGTACAACCTGCAGTCGCCGCAGAAAAACTCCTTTTGCAGCAAAGTGGTTAATAAGTAGATTGAAACATTCTGCTAATGCACTTTCGGTTTAGGAGCAAAAGGGAACAGAGTGAGAGAGAGAAAGATCAATGCAGTCTTGATAGCTACAAGCTTCATTTGGAATCCCCTAAGCAAAAGCACTTGATAAAGCCCTTAAGAGGTAGATGCTGCAGATTACCTTTATGATTGATTTCCATTCAAGTCAGACAGACTGCAGTGTGGTCATTTTTCTAGCCCATAACTGCCGGGCTCCCTGGCCGTCTCACAGCAGCAGGGCGTCTGAATTACAGCAGCCCCGTGTGCAGGTTAGCTCTCACACAAATTACTTAACACCCCACTTATTAGCCATGCAAATTCATCAGCTTTACAGCCCCTCGTAAATAACCCCCAGGACTCTCAGAAGAGGAGTCGGCAGGAAGGGGATGACTCAGAAATTATGGCTTTGGCAAGCTTGTGTCAAAGTTTTGATTTCCTGTCAGGTTTTGCGCCTGCCTCTCCGTCAACCATTTGGGCGAATCGTGTAGTAACGTCTTATTCAATGTTAAAGAGGTATACTCTTGTACTTGGATCTCTCTTACAGGTGTGGGTGCTGGGCGGGAGTCTTATTAATTGCCTTATTAATTTGTATTCAGTACCAGCCTTCTACTTGATACATCTTCCTATCTGTATCAGAAATACGGAGTCAGTTGTTCAAATCATCCAAGACATCTGGAATCACAGCACAAAAGGCTGACCCATGTAACACGTTTTGCTAAGCTAAAGTAAAAAAAAACTAAAGGAAAACACAAAATGTTGCAGGATGACTTTCAAAGTGCTGGGCAAATTTAACACCAGCTTTAGGCATCTCAGCTCATTCTGATCTCTGTTGGCAGGTGGCAGAGATTTTTCTTGTCATATTTTATTGTGTAGCACTATCATTTCTAGCACTTATTACTTATTTTCCTAATATTTCAGATTTTCTTTTATTTATTTATGCATACATAAAATATAATGAGACAGGGAACTTTGTACTGTACACATAGGTGTTTTTTTTCAAGTGAAAATGTAGAAAATGTTGGCTATATTGTTATAATCTTAAGGTGAAACTGGCACTAATGTTAAATAAGCCCCATTTTGTATTCCACAACTGTTCCTTTTTCAAGAAAACAATCATTTCTTCTTCCTTTCTAGGTCTCAGAGTTGCTAGACTTTTGCTTTTATTGTTTACGGTTTCTTCTCCTCTGGAATCGAAAGCTTTACACATCCCCTTGTTACTCCAGCAACAAATATTTCCACAAAAACTTCAGTGTAGACAAGCAGTCCAGCCTTTTTGATCTGAGGGAACTCTAGGCTGTAGTGTTCTGTTGACTTTGCCACTCAGTGTTTGAAATTTTTGTTAGAGGTGGGAAGTTATGGATGTAGTTCTGAAATTATGCTTGGAGATATAAAGCCCTGGTGGGACTTGTGACGTTATCTTAGGAGTTGTAGAATTCTGGTTTGAGTTTTTCAAAAGTATGGAGACAGCCTGGGCGTAATCCACTTTAATAATGATGTTTTGTAGGAGGTTACTATTCTTTATAATTCCAAGTAACAAAACCATGTTATTTTTTATGAATTAGGGAACCTTTATGACTAAAGTGTAGCTCATGAATGAGTTTTTGACTGGTAGTCAGAGAAAGTGTTAAGGTTTGTTCACCTTCCACCTGATGGTTGTTTCTCTGTCTTTCTCAGCCCCCATCGCTGCAGGGACGGGGCCTAATTTCTCCCTGGCGGATCTGGAGAGCTCCTCGTACTACAGCATGAGCCCGGGAGCCATGAGGAGGCCTCTTCCTAGCACGTCTTCAAGCAGGTAAAAGCCAGAACCCCCGAGGACTGACTCCCCTCACAGAGCAGGCAGAGGGGCTTTGGAAAATCCAGCGTCATACATGACCCATGTGTTGGCTGCAGCTGTCTAAATAACACGTCCGTCATTTCCCGTTCTGAAACATTTTTAAACTCCAGTCGCAAAGGGTGTGTCCTTCTCAGAAGCTTCTATCTGAGCAGAACCTTTCAGCTACCAGAGAATCAGGCCTTTTTGTAACGGGAGAGCCTGCAGGTGGCGTTTCTCTGAAGCTCCAATGATGTCAACAGCCCTCTTGACTCACCCTTGCTGGATGTGAGGGGAAAGTGATGTCCTCTCAAGGTGGAAGTGAACTAAAGGTGAACTAAAACGGGCAGATCTGAAATGAGCACTGTTTCTTAAATTACTAGATGGGACACTAATAAGATCATTTCCTCTGTACCGTCCTGTTATTGAGTTTTTATTACAGACATACATGTGGAACATATACAGTAACATTTCTGGGATCCACTGCATTGTCATCCTCTGCTACAAAACTTTAGTTTTCGGCAGATTTATAACACACAGCCATGTCCTGACATTAACAATAGGTTCTTTATGTGCCTTGCTGTATCCTCTCTGTGCTAATGCTATGGAGTGGAGGGGGGAGAGGGAGAAGGGAGTGGGGAGTTTCGACAGTGCAGCCTGCGTTTTAGCTTCGATCAGGAGTGTGCTAGCAGGTGTATTTACTGTTGACTTACGGCGGGGGTATGACCTGCTAATCTATGGCGGGGGTATGACCTGCTAATCTACAGGAGACTTGCCCTGACTTAATCCCCATCAGACAGCCCTCTGCAATCAGGTGGTGTGCCTCTTATAAATGTCACAGCTCGCCTCTGAGCCCCAGGATTAGGTCAGCTGGATGCCAAACAGCAGAGCAGGAGGCAGGTATGCAGAGAGAGTGATCCTGCAATGAAGGACAGTGTCCTAGCCCCAGGCTGCCTGAAGCAGTTGACTTTTTCAGAGTATGAGATTGGAACCTTATGTCCTGAAACCAGGCTTTGCAAGGTTAGTTCCCACTGTTATTTAATCAATCTTGCTGACAAGCTCTTAAGAAAAGATTTTTAAGGATCTGTAGCCAACATTTTTATCTTTATTACTTTTGCAGATATAGCCTTATAAAGTCAGGCTATTTGCTAAAACAAATGTACCAGAATCGCAAACTTAATCCTGAGAATTAACCTCTTAAATCCTTGTTAGTGCAGATCTTTGTTTTGTTAATATTAAACAGGGCTCAGTGAACAAACCATGTTACAGATATGATGTCACCCCCTTGAATACCAGGTAATGTAGAGTTCTGCTCAGTCTTTTGGTGCAGCAGAGTTTACAGTTGTGTGTGTGGCTCCGAGCCCTAAGGCAACTATATTCAAATCCCAGCACAAGATGAGCAGAGTGGACCTATCACATACACGAGTGCTTTTATAATCTCCTGATGCTCTGGATTCATTGCAGTTCCTGGCTGCTGAATTGTGAGCAGTTGCATGTTCCAAGCATTAAGCATTAAATGTGCCGCAACATAGAAATAATTCCTAGGGATTGTTTTCAGATTTGGTGCAGAATAGTTTGATCAGCACAGCTACATAAACAACTAAATCGTTTTACCATCTTTGATTCTGGCACACCTTCGAAGTCAGGTCAGAGTTTTCATTGGAGGAAGACGGCTGCTTACTAAAAGAAACCAACAATTAAGGCTTTCTGCCTTCAAGCTTATGAATTTTCTGTATACATCAGAGAAAGAAATAAGAACATCTACTATAGTTCAAACAGTGCAAAAAACACACACACAGGATATTGAGAAGTTTTAAATTTGCAGTGCATAAAATACTGTGTAAGCACGATACCCAGACTGTGATTCTGTAACACAAATCACAAACCCTAGTTTCTGTAACGAGAGCGTTCTTTCTGGACCCTATGCAGACGACACAATCCGGTGATGAGTGAGGAAAACACGGGGGGAAAAAGAATCCGGGAGTCGGGAATGAAAACAGGGGGCGTGTCCATGGTGCGCTGGTGTTCGGGGAAGGTGTAGCCAAGGCAAACAATCCAGATATAAGTCCAAGGGGGAATCCGAGAGGAGGCAAAAGTCCAAAGCCGGGTGGTCCATCCAAGACAAACGGGGTTAAGAACAGGAACCGGGTCAGGACCAGCATGGGAACAGGAACAGGAAGTAAAAACTTGATGGTACCAGGCGCTTCCAGGTCCCAGGCTCGCCTGGTACGGGAACCAATGCAGAGCCCGGAACTGAGTAAGTGTCTGGCTTTTAAGGGGAACTGAAAAGGGGGCTGAAACAGGGAGCAGGTGCGGGAGATGAGTAAAAAAACAAGGAAGGGCTAGAGCCTCCTTAAGAGGAGGGGTTTACGAAAGTGACAGTTTCAGTCTAAACAGATTTTCCAATAAAGGTGCAGGTGTGTATTGATTCTGCTGCTGCCATCAGTAGTTACTTCAATAAAGACAAGTGAGCCAGTTCCAGAGGCAGCCATGCATCTCCAGGCAATACCATGCTTCACAGATGAGGTGATATTCTTGGGAACATCTGAAGTTCCTTTCTTTATCCACACTTGAACCTTTTTTCTTTGTCTCATCTGTCCATAAGGCTTTGTTCCAAAACACTCTTGGCTCATCCTTGTACTTGCAAGCAAATTTCAAATCACAGTGGAGGTAATGTCATGGCCTGGACATGCATGGCCGTCTCTGGAACTGGCTTGTTCGTCTTCATTGACGTTGACACTAATGATGGCAGCAGCAGAAGGGACTTTGGAAGTTTGCAGAAATGTTTTGTCTGCTTATGTGGAATAAAATGCCCCCTTATTTATTGGATGGGACTTCAACATTTAGCTTGGTAACGCATACTGTCAGTACAACAAAGGGTTCATCAGGAAGAAAAAGGGAAATATCCTACTGGCCAGCATGCATTACGTAGTAATCCAGTGGCAGTCCTTTCTCTTATACTGTATATTGAAGGAAGAAGGGAAATCAGAACACCCAAGAATAAGCAAGAACTCAAAGTGGCTACGGCAATAGCAACACAAATGATTACACAAAGAGTCTGGTGAGTTCATTGGATCACAGACTTCGTTCAGTTATTAGTTCGAGGGAATATGCAGCCATATACTCAGGGCCGGTATAAAGAGGGGTAAACACCAGTTGAATTACGTCGATTGACATGATACATTTTAAACTATTCTAATGGTAAACCACGTGACTGATGGAGCGAGTCAAGCGACCATCACTTCGATACTTCTAGTTTCTAGAACAGCTGCTAGATAGCGTGGGATTTGGAGCACCTAGAGTCAATCACGAGCATGTTGTTTCAGCTCGTTTTTTGTTAGTCACTAGTGTTTCCCTTCTTTGTAGTCCCTAAAATTTGTGTAGGCCCTAGGCGCTGTGCCTACAGTGCCTAAAGGGAAATCTGGCGCTGCATATAGTGATTTTCACACTCAGAAATGTTCTTAAAGCGCATGTATCCAAATACCTGTGATCACTTCAAATCAGTGGGGTGAACCCAAACTACATTTTTGTTCTAGTATGTCCAAAATAATGCATGAAATTATCCAAAATAAAATTTATATTATACTGTATCTTGCTTATCATTTATATTAATCTTTTGATCACAAGCCCTGATTGTTGTGACAGAAAAAATAACACTTTTGACTTTGCTGTCAAAGTAACATTTTGGGGGGGGGGGGGTATACCTCCTATATTAATGAGGTGTATGAGCCGGTACGGAAGGAAGGTTGTTCTTTCTGATGGGCCCAGCCTGTCCTGCTCACCCCTATGGGAGGGAGAGGGCACACAAGAGGGCCTCTGATGGTACAATTAATGTGAGCGGATGCTGGGCGGCTCCGAGGGCAGATAAACAGAACAGTTTGGACTTTGATACAGGCCGCCTGTGGCAGCTGTCGAAATCGCACCGCAGCACTGGTCCTGCTGGAGGCCGCCCCGCTGTTTGTCAGGAGGTGAGCACTGGTAGCATCTGCAGGCTCCCCTGTTCACAGCGCTGTAGCGGTGCCTACTCTTGATCCACAGCCAGGTTTGCCACTGTCAAAGAGGATTACCATTAATCTTGTGCTTCTTCGGACGCTGGGGGGGGGCAGCTAACAAGCTAGTGCCCTCAGTAGGACCCTCCTGAAGCCCCTGCCCGCACTGACCTTTGTTGCTGTCTATCCTCTGTTGGATGAAACAGCAGAGGAGTGAAGCGCTCAGGAGGTACAGCCACTGCTCCTCTTTCATTCCTCCAGCCACCCCCTCAAGAAAACGTGTAGCAGGTTCACAGACTGCGAGCAAGAGGCGTCTTTCCTTTTTTCGCTTTTTGACATTTGGGATCAATTGTGTTGCTTTGTTATGCCGCGGCATGTGGCACCAGCAGGGCAGGTTTTCCTTCACCAGATGCGGTGCCCTTTTCACCAGTTTGAGGAGGGCTGAAAGAAAGAAAGCAGCGAGGGTCTGACTTTGTTTCCCCCCACACACTGAAAACAGGTTCTCAGACTCAAGACAACTGGTCGAGAATCTGTCTCTACCTTTATGTTGTGCTAAATGTTTCAGTTTACCACTCAGAGGAGTGTGCTCTTTACTCTGTTTCTGGGCTCTGTAAGTCTTGGAGATCTGAATGGGCAGTTCTTGGCAGTTTTCAATGTGGACAGCAGTAGCACCATATGCAGTACTGAAGTCTGCGATCCTGTGCCACACAATGACACATACTGATCCAGTGCCACTTAAAAAAAGCACAGTTAAGTGTAGAAAACTGCAAAGAAGGAATGGAGAGGTATTCAGAACCATGCCACAAACCCACAGCAAAGCAAAGGCAATGTGTGGCACAACAGCACACCCACCAGAACATTATCACAGTAAAACTCCATCAAGTGGTGGCGGCAAGTAACTTATTGTACATCTGTGTTTCTCTGCACAGCTCAGCAAAGCGCATCAAGTGCATAGAGGATGAGGTGGACAGTCCAGGGGAAGAGTCCTTTTACCCAGGACAGGGGCGGTCGCCGGGCAGTGGCAGCCAGTCCAGCAGTTGGCACGAAGTGGAACCAGGTAAGATTGGCACCGGCTTAACTCAACTTCCAGCTTCCCTGTTTTGCTCTGCACATGCCCTGTGGAGACTCCTTGGGCCCCGAGTGTGTGCCCCCAGTCTGACGAGCTTCGTGGTACTAAGAGGGGTGATGCTGTAATAACGAAGTGTGCACCAAAGAGAAAACTGAGAAGGAACGGGTTACTCTGCTGCTAATTTATCAGAAACTGCAGCTAAAATACTGAAGCGATTTCTGTCACCATTTCCACTACAGTCTGTTGATAGTGCATATAGAAGCCCAAACTAATTCAAGAGATATGTGTAAGACTGCCCCCTAGTAACTGTGACCTCCACACGTCGTGCTTGCCATTATTTTCTCTATTTGTTGTTCGAGAGAGGTTTTTCCTCATTTGTTGTGTTAAGTGCTAGAAAACAAAACAAAGGATGTTCTCTAACAAAATCTACATATTTACCATTGATCCCGGTAAGGTGCCGCTTATTGAATTTAGATCAATGGGACCTTATCCATTCGACCACTGTATGATTCAATTTGCAATTTATATTTACATAAATTTTCAAACTTTGAAAACAGTTGAGAGCAGATCATCACATTTTAGAGCAGTAACGAGAAAGAATATACCATATATAATATTCACCTTGGTTCAGCAGAAGAGCTGACTAGCTAATCCTTTGATATTGCTCACAGGGCTGTTAAGAAAGCTGCTAAAGGTAAAATAAGGATTGAGATAATCAGGCATTAGGAGCCCAGATTTAAAAAAGTGCTATTGTGTAATTCTAGTGGCATGATTTAGTCTTTAAGGACATCACACATCGTTATAAGTATGGCTTTAACAGTAGAGTGGATAAACTGCTGGTTGACCACGAAGAGGATCTCTTCCAGCTCAGGCTATTCCAATACAAGGCAGTTCTGTCCCACAGTAGACAGCACTGCCAGGGATTGGGAGAAGAAGTCATCTGGATAATTCTCAGCTCCCAGTGCTCTGGTAACTCCTTTCATCGGACACCACAGACAGTTTGCACTCGGCACTCTCGGGGCAGTGAACAGCTGGATCTGGATGCTCTGGAAGAGGAGAATATATTCCCTTCTCTTTCTCTCTGGTCAAGCTGAATAATGACTACCTTTTGCAAATGAATGGGTAGGAAAAAAAGGAAACCAATCATTTTTGATCCCCCCAAAAAAATCTGTTTTAAAAAAAGAAAAAAGTAGGATGCCTAGAAAAAAATCACATTATTTTTGCACGAACAGCCTCTCAGCTGTTATGGTTATGCAACTTTGTATCTGGAGGATAGCGATTGCATTGGAGAGCAATTGCGTCAGATTTTGACATGAAACAGATATATGAGGAAAAGAGGAAAGAGAGAGATGGAGAGGGAGATATAGGGTCGAAAGCATTTGCAGGCTCAGACATATTGGATTACTTCATTTTCTTTCATTTACCTGTTGTGTTGGTTTGTTACTTGCTGCGTAATCCAATTCATGTACAGTATGTTTTATTTTGCTGTTTATTTGTTAACTATAATACATATTGTCTCTGTGCTATATCTGAGACTATATATATAAACTATAGATAACATATAAAATAAATTATAATACATGTTATAAAATATAATATAGACTATGTAATAACAGGAATATTATATAAAGGGGGTTAGAGAACACCAAAGGGCTTACTAAACTGTTTTTGTGGAAATAATCAATATAAGAAATTATAAATCTGACCATGTGGAACGAGACTGTCAACAAGTGAGAAACTCAAAGGGAAATACAAATATGATTGGCCCTTTTCAGGTAATAAAAATACCTGCTGTTTCAGAACTTCTGTGTTTCTCCCTACGGGGCATTTGTGGAGAGAATAGACAATTAGCTAAGAGAGATACCTCAGATCACAGATCACAGAATCTGCCTTAATACTCTATTTCCTGTAGTCCAAAACTATCCTGTAGTAGTTTTCAAATGAGGAATGAAAGGATGGAGCAAAAAAAAAAAACACAATAGCCAAGAATACTAATCTGTAACTAGTCATGAGAATATTTCGAATTTCATGAGACTGGACATTACACATGACAAACACAAAATGTAACAGAAAATAGACATTACAAAGGGTTTTCCTAAGCCTTAACCCCCCTCAAAAAAACTAATAGTAACTCCAGTGTTGCACAATTCTGCCTTTAGAATTGACTGTCTCTAAGGTCAGCTGATGGATTTCCTGGTGTTTAACCTCCTGGTGGCACAACCCAGTGACCCCTGAGGGGTTTCTGTTGTGCGGCTGCAGGGATAGAGCAATCTTACAAGCCTCTCTTTCTTTCAACTGTGTCACAGAGTGCCTGTCCTGTGGGCTGTGGATGGCCTGCATGTGCAAGGCAGTGCTACGCTCTGTGTCCTTCTCCCCGGTCTACCCCAGCCTGTGAGCTCTCTCTCACACTCTCTCCTCCGGTGGAAGAGGCGGCCATGTAGTGTGAAGGCTCGTGCCCAGAGGACCTGAGCAGCTCAAATTCCTCTCTGCCTCTAGGTGAATTTGTCAGACATACAAAGGACTTTACTTTCGAGTGAGATTGTTTATCCTCGTCTCCTGTAAGAATGTTAAATTGTAATTCTTACAAAGTCATCCTTAGTATATGAAGCACCTTTACGAGTGTAATTCCCACAGAATTCCAAACATTCATGCAGTATCTACACAGTATATGATACACACAGGATTAGGTGAAGAGGAGAGGACCGACTTTGCATTAACATTTTAAACTGGAGTGGAGAAGCAAGGTAGGTCAAAATTAATACATTTCTGCATGTACAGAAACACGGTTAGCTTGGTGCTAAGAAATGCAACAAGAATAATAGTAACATTCCAAAGTAAAAGTTTTGATAATAGTAATACTTTTTAAATAGGTGCCATTTGTTAGAGTTAGGCAGACAGTTTTGATTGGCCCAAATCAGCTTCTGAGGTATGTCTGTGATTCATACAGTACATTATCATGTTGATTCCATAAGTTTTGCAAACGTTTTGATATTGTGATTTACAGAAACCTTTTTTTCTGAAAAAAGAAAATGGGTTTAATCTCAGTTCTTCTCAGAAAGGCCTAATAGGTCATCTATTAAGCTCCTTGGTTTGTTGCAGCTGAGTATTGTTTTTTAAAAGACAGTTTCATGTAAATGTAATGATTCATCTTCGTGGTTAACACATTTTGACCTCCACTGTTAATGCCACTGTCAATTTATGAAAAATAGCTAAACAGTAAAACTTGGCCCGACAGTGCATAATTTGAACATTATGTACTGATAAAAACTGCAACAAGAACTTTATGATGTGCTATACTTAATGGTTGTTCTGTGTTTGAATTAACGGTCAAACATTTCACCACAAAAAGTTTGTTTTTGTCTAAAATTACAGCTGTGTGATTCACAAACCTTCAGTCATGTGACCACAAGGGTGCTGACCTTTAACCCCCACTGGGGCCTGACATTCAGGATAAACATACCAAACAGCTGTGAGAAATATGTCTAGAAGAAGGGTAGCAGCCCTGCTACAGTTATCATCGTTTAACCCTGGTACTGCCAGGAGGCTCTTCTCCTTAGGGCAGTATACAGAAAAATAATTGAACAACTTATCAGTTGCAAAATGTACTATAAGAACATTCTAGTAAAATATATATCGTAGTTTTGAAATACATAAATATCTGAACTGTTTTTCTGTGTCTAGCCTCTGAAACAAACTATGGTGTCAAAATGTATCAATCTCTGGCTCTGTAAGTGTGTACAAAGTACATGGACAACAATGGTCAATCTCTGACTGCACTTATTTCTACCTGTCTTTACAGTGTAATCAAACTTAATTCCCTGCCTTTGCTGTGCAGTAGCAACGCTCACTGCACTTCTCAATTACCACTGCAGTATCACTGTCATATGCTGTGTGCATGCTTCTGGCAGACTACAGTAGTCTTAAATATTGCAGACCAGACGATGGTACTTGTAGTCCTGCAAATGTGTGTCATTAAGAGCTTCATGCTATGCAAGTTTAAATATTGCTAAGTGGATATCCCTAAGCCATTAGCCAGGCTGCTTTTCATAAGCGTAGTGTTTCATGTTGCAGTAGAATCACAATTTAAATTTGCCCTGCCAATGTAAATTTCACAGTGGGTTTTGAAGATCCTGGAACATTGCATGCTATATCCTCTGTTTATCATTTCTGTCAAAAAAAATTACAGTATGACTGCATTTTTACAGATAAAGGCCATAATATATGGAGTATTTGAGAACGAATTGTAGCTCCTTTTTCCTTTCAAGTGCAAAGTGTTCTTCATTACCAAACAGAATGGGGAGGTTGTGTATTTCAGGAATTTCTAGAGTGGTGATAAAATGCCTGGAGTTATCGTGAAAGCTGTATGAGTTTATAAGTGCGTTTTGGAGCCCTCAACTTGAAGGAGTGGTCCCATTTTCTTCTGATTTCATTCCTTACTTGTTTTATATCTTGCTGTATGTTCTGTGCTTCGCTGTTTCGTTGTTTGTGTTTACATTGTTGCTCACTCCTCTGTTTCAGGAGGACTGTCTATTACGGATGATTATTTTCTAAAGAGTCCTGAGAAAACAAAATTCAAGGAGATTGCCAAAGCTTTTTGGTTGAGGGCAAAACCTGCTCTGTTTTTTTTTTTTGGAACAAACTACACCGCAGCATATGATCATATTAATCACTTTAAGTATCAAATACCAAAACAATAAATTAAAGCAACTTAATGAATTAAATATCTAATCATAAGTTACTCTGTGTGACACCTTTACAATCCAGGAACACTTAAAAACTGAACTAAACAAAACTCAAAAGAATTGCCCGCAGGTCAGTTTCCAAAAAGGCATTATAATCTGTGCAATTTTCCATTTGCTATGTGAACCGGGTCCCTTCTTTTTCCTTTATCAGAAGCATTTCTTGGTGGAATAGCTAATTGCAAAGGTAACACACAATTCAAGCAGACGCTTCATCACACAGGGAGGGAGCAAACGCGGGAGGTGGTGTAGTAGCAAAAAAACAGATGGTCCTGTGTGTTCAAGCCCACTGACAATTTAAAATGAATTCAAGATGTTTTCCACCTCACTTTGTCTTCCCTTTCGTAAAGCATGATATAAATGCAATGCTGTCATAGGACAGGTCTAGGATCACTTTTGAAAAGGAAACTTAAACGTTTCCATTTGCAACAAACCCTAAAGGCCAGAGCACAAATGGTGTGCCAAAGGAATGGGAAGAATATTGACTCTCGGTTGAAGTGAAGCTTTGTCTTATCCTCATCTCCCAGAGCCGCATCAAGCCTCAGAGAGGGTCAGTTTGTAGACCAGCAGTGAAAACGTCGGAGCCCATAAGAATAGCCAAGTCTGGAAGAATCAGAGGTTCAACCTACAAACTAATAAGAAATTATACATTTCCTAACATACTGCTTGGTTCCAGCTGTTAATAGCCAGCAGTTTCCTGGTTTTTCCAGCACAAACCTGCCATTACAAACTGGGGTTGGTCATTTTCTGATGGGTAGATGGAGCCCAAGAGCAATAACAGGCTCTTTGAACAATCAGACCTCGTTCACATTTCATGAAACATCTACTTATTTCTATACACACTTGATTACCAGCCAATTTATTATATTTTTTTTTTGCTTTTAAATTGTTTTCTACTCTATGTGACCTCCATTCTGGAGAGTCCTGGAAAAATAACTATAATCTGAATTACAGGCCTTTTTTTCAATGCCACTTTATTTTTTGTTGTTGGTGGCTGCTTTTGTTTAACCCACGACAAACCCAACATATAGAATTAGGTTTTACCATTCACGTTTGAATGTAACAAATTGAACAAATTGTGACATTGGGTGAAAAAACTGAAACGGATTCAATATTTGGTCAAATTAAAAACCTCTCTGTCCTCCTGTTAGATGGCTTTATGAGCGAGCCATAGCCTGCCATCAGGACATAAGCTGCTGTATGGTCACTTCACTGGACAAGAACTTCACAGGAAAAAGTACATTTATGGTCTAGATACTGGATCTGTTTGAAAAAGTAAAGAATCAAACCTTATATCAAAGCAGAGTATGCTGACCTCTTGGCGGTAATGTGTGAACAGTAAAATAACTTCTACCTTTGAATAGGAACAGAAAACTAACCGCAGAATTCTTGGTGCTGAAAGACAGATACTGATATAGCTACAGTATGTTCAGGATCCTTATGCTGCTGCAGTTAGCCCTGGACTGTCCACTGCCCTCTCTAAACCATCGCCAGACTTCAGCAGGTATACTTTCTAACTACAAGGGAGTTTTGAAATATTAGGGGCTTGATTTCATGTACTGTAGATGAAGGGAAGAATTGCTGCATTTGCCTCTGCCTTTGACTGTGAGACACGTGACACTGAGCAGAGAAGAGATGTTGTTTCTTTTATCAGGGATGCAAAAGAAAAAAAAACATCCAGCCCAGGTGTAAATCTGAAGAATGAACGGCAAACTGCAATGTGTAAAGAGGATGAAAACATGCTATAGTGTTCCTACTGTACATGTATTAAGAGGTGGCATCATCTCCTGAAGCCAAAGTGTAGCACTTTTGCAATGTGAAATGTGAACCATTTCTCATCCAAATGCAAGACGATATGCATCTCTGAAGTCATTTGGAGAGGTGTCAGTCATGAATAGTTAATATGTGAGGTAATGCATATTTCTTTTTATACTTTATTCATCCTGCCTTTTTTTCCCTTTTTTTTGTCTTTCGAAGCTGGATATAAACTGCGTGGCTCGCTAGCTAGTACGTTCATCACAAGACAAGGTAATCATATATTAATGTTCCCATTGTTGTGCACTTCATGCCAGAGAAGACAGGATAGTTCGTATTGTTGGGTTTGAAACCCCTCCTTCTGATCACCAGTGTCTGTGGAGTGCAAGGCCTGTTCCAGCAGGGACTGCAGGCCAGGACACTAGCGTCTCTTGAGCAAACCTTTACCGAAGACAGCTGCTCAGATATGCAGTGGTTCCCAGAGCACTGACCTGCCCTGGTTGACTTCCAGGTTGATGGTCCTGGTTTCTTTTTGCCAAACTGCAATGGCAGAACTGCTGAATATAGTTTAAGTGAGTCAGAGCTCTTAAGGAGCCTGTGAGAGGGATCCCATGACAAGGTCAGAGAAAGAAAAAAGAAAGCTGTTTTTCTTCTGGAAACAAAAACATAGAATAGTCAAAATGAGTTAACTTTTTTCACTAACTGTAAGATAAGAGGATTTTGGATTCACTTGTACATAAGAGTGTGTTGCTTCCTTATCTGAAACACCCTGAAATACCCAAACTGTTTGTCAGCTAAGGGTGTTCAGTATACTGGGAACTACTGCATCACACTTACTGTGGTGAAGTCCACCACTGCCTTTCACAGCACGGTACTCAGTGAATTTTCACATGCACAACACAGCTCAGCTGAAACAGATTGTTACTGTCCTGTCGGGAGTGTATTATGTAATTTAATTAAGGTGTTTGATCCATCCACATATTTACATTTTATACACACCATACCATTTTTAGATATATATCAACTTGAGTAATGGGCATGTTGTTGATATATATTATATAAACGCATCCATGTACATCTGTGTATGTCAAGAGAGAGCTGGGCAGTTAGATAAATGTATTGAATTTCTGTATATTGTAAAGTGTGATTTTGGCATCATGTATTTGCATGTTGCAGGTTTCTGAAACATGCATGCAGACATTTGGAAAGAATTTGAGTTATCTTGCTTAGAAAAGATTTAGGTTGTAGTGTATTTCAGAAACAGAAAGTCTACAGTATGTTGCTCTTGTTTTGCCCTCCTGTTGTGTTAGCATGCTGTACTGTACTGTATATTGCTTCTTCTTGATCTAAACCCAACCAGGGCTCATGTACAGCTCTGGATTCAGGCAGGTTTGCTTTCTACTGATTCACAACCTTGTCTGTAGAGACTCTGTAGTGTTTTTCCCCATTTCCTGTGGAGCTTGCCCATGTGGAGCCTTTTGAACAAAGTTTATTCCAGGGGTGCTTATTGACCTGTTTTAATCCATCTATTGCTCATGTGGTTGGAAAGCAAAGTAAAACTAAATGTACCTCACTGGCAAAGTTACTGTCTGGATAGGAACAGATAAGCCTTCCCGCAAAGCCCTTTAACTTGAGTGGCCATTTCATGCTTGTGAAAGCAACCAGTTCCTTTTCAAAGTGTATTCTTACACTTTTATTTTTTGTGTAGAATTATAACCAGCTGAGCCTTTACTTTGTTAATGATATATTTTGTATGGAATACTTGTCCTTTTTTTGTGATTCAAGAGGGGGATGATGACTGAGGTTTGTTTAAGTCACTCAAACAGGAAATGGTTCTCCTCACAGTGACAGTGGTATCCCTGCTAGCTCGATGGAGCTATATGCTTGGGGTTCAATTAATATTTATGTTCTTTTATGTCTAAAGTTAAACAAAACAGATTGCTGACATGTTATCATCTGCAACTGTCTCTTCAAAAATCAACTACATATTAAAAAAAAATTTGATGCAGATAATCTTGGAGTTTTAGATGCCCTGTGCCACTTGATTATTTTTGCATCTTGTGGTTTTTCATTTTTATATGTACAGTATATACAGTATGTGTCCAAAAAAGTGAGAACTTAAGGGGAGTTTTGAAATGTTTAATTTTAGGTCAAACTGTTAAAATAATTTAAAAGACACCAGCTGAACAGAATTTAAGCGAGTCTTACCCCCCGGGATGTGGCATGGGCTGGTATTTCGATAGCACCACTGTCCTCACAGAGCAAACTCTTTAAATATTGATTCAAGCCTAATTTAAATCCAGGACAGCAGGGATAAAAGGCTTCTCAATTAACGTGGTGTAAAATCTGGGGCCTAATATATTTACTCATGCCAGTCTCAAGAGGGAACAAAATCTGTTGTGATGCTTTTTTAAAACTGTTTTCTTTTATTATTTTTAGTTTTCTTAACAGGGTTGAATTAGTAATATATATATATATTTCATGAACTAATTGAGCCTAATAAGACTTGTTACACAGAGTGTGTCAGACTCAGCCAGCCAGCTGTGAGTGATGCCACTGTGATGCACCTTATCTGTCTTTTGTCAGTGATAATGAATTCCGGCATTTGTTTTAATGTAGACAGATTATTATTCAACACAAAAGCTTTGACTGCACTCTGCTGTACAGAAAAACTCTTAACAGCTTTTTTTTCCATCCAGGAAATCAGGAAAACCTGCAGCACTGATGTGATTTGTATAACTAAAAAAAAATCTTTAAATAGCATACTATAAAATACTTAATAACAAGATGCATCTAGTATTTTGAAGTATATGGAAAATCTTTGCTTCCAATTCATGCTTCCAACTGATATGTAATATTTAACTTTCCAGACCTTGCTTGTAAAAGCCCTACTCCTAAAAAAATGTTCTATTATAACTGAGCGTCAGGATTCTTGTGTGTCAGGGGTGTGTGAAATCACTGGGCCTTGAGAGTTTTTCCCGATCGTGCTCTAGATTTCAGCTTGTGAATAAGTTAAAACTCCCTCTGGCCCATAATACAATTATCTCACATAATACTGAGCAATACTGAGTCTGGACATGGGTGGCAATCGAGGGGCTAAGTTTCAGCATTCTGAATCCTTTTGACTGCTTTGCACTTTTCTGAAATAATATAGTTTTTTTAGGTTTTTAGGTTAGGTTAGGCTACGTTTCATGCATTGTAACCTTCGAGATCCCTGGGGCATCAAAAGGAGACCATGGTTAAATCCTGCACTCAGATCCGTAAAGAAAAGTTCTGATATATAAATCCATTGTCAAAACATAGGGACTGCTCTCTTGGAGATCAGCATGGCCACACTGAAAAATCAACCAGTACTGTATCAGTGGAAGCAAAGAGAAGTTTAACCTTGTAAAATGTTCCCCTGCACCCCTGCCAGAAGACACACCAGTGCTGCATTCCTGACTGGCTGTGTCTTCAGTCATGTTGAGGAGCTGCTGGCGGGAGAGAGGGAAATTTTGTCCTCTGACACTTCGGTTGGACACAGGTTCTCAAGCCTCCATTGTATCTAGAGTATGTGGAGCAAATGACGCAGTCTTAGCAAAGAGTGATCTCACTATAACTTGTTCCTAACACACGACAAAGCCATGTTAGAGCTGTCTGTGTACTTCACATGAAAAAGGCACTTGAAAGCTGCTTATTCTAGTTCACAGTCTTTCCTAAAAAGCAGTAGGGAGACAAAGTGAGTATTTTTTTACCCCTAAGAGAATTATGGACAGAAACATGGAGGTCTAGAAAGCACTTCCTAGCAGTAGGCTACAAGCCTGTCAGTCCCTCAGTTAAGAAGTCCTGGATTAGGAGAATATAAAGGGAAAAAAAAGACCAGTACTTTTTCTGTAATAAGGTTTCCCAAAGAAAATGCTGAGTGTGCCCAAGCTTTGATTCCAACTGACAGAACCTTTTCAAGTGTTCATTACTCACTTTCAGCCTTCAGGCCGTTTCAAGACACAGACAGGCTGAGGACCCATGTAGGACTGCTCAAAGCACAGCTCAGAGGTGTCCTCGCATACTTTTACATACACACACACATTACTCTATCAGGCACAGGCCTCTCTCACCAGCTATTAATACCCACACAAGGTTACAGAGTGTCAGAACTTCTAAAAATGAAATCTATAAATGTTTGCAGCTTATTGACAGGCTTGTATGCTTTCAATATTGCAACAGATGGAAAGGACATGAAAGTCACAAAGGAAAGCAGAGTCTAATACTGTATAGAGGTCTTTGAACAGGATTCTGGCTTTTAGTCCCCAGTTGTCTTTGGTGTAGATACTGTATGAGTGCTTAAGGAGCCTTTACCACTTTCACCCTGTTTAGAGCTGAATGGTTCAAGTGAATTTCCACTTTGGAAAATAGGATTAATGAAGGGTGGTCATCAAAAAAGATCCTCAAAGTGCAGTTTCTGTTGAAGAAAACCTTTTTTATCTTGAGACCAAGGGCCTGGGCACAGAGATTTCTCTACACTACGTTTTTTTTTCAGCTCCTGGGATGCTCACAGTGAAGAGACATCTTCATTAAATGATGTGAAGATATAACTGTAACAGTCCCTGTTGTGTTGTTTGAAGATATTCCTTAAAACCTTGAAGTGTGTAAATCTGGGTTTGTTTTGTTGTTTTTTTTCACACTTCTGTTCCTCAGAATGTTCCTAGTTCCTAGTTCCTTGTGCTTTAAATAAATTAACAATTAATTAACAGTTTCTAAATAGAAGATTAAATAGTTTCACAAAGTACATACATATTAAAAACCAGTATCCTCATAGGATCTTCAGAAGGATTGAAAGAATAATTAAAAGAAAAATTACATTCCAGACAGCTTAAGTAAATTATACCATACAGCAAAAACCTGCAATACAAGTTCTTTATGATCATTGTTTTCCCGATGAAATAAGCTACCACTTGGATACAGGATGTTTAACTCTTTTTTTCCTTAGAAAATTCTTTATTTTGCCTGATCTTGACATTTTGAGAAAAAAATACTCAAGGGATTATGATCAATTTTGGTTTTGAGAACTTGTTTACACACAATAAGGCTTGAAGTAAATTTAACCTTTGATAACAGCTGTCTGTTGGATAAAGTCTGGTCTGCCTAAACAATTGAAAACATTGGATTTTTGCATGACAGATAGGACAAAGTTGTGTTTTAATCGGAGCATCTACACAGGGATGTATGATGTCCTTACATTGGACCTCTACAAGGGCAGGATCTCCCAGTTGGTAACCGAATGGCAACATGCACCTGCAAAGCAATATGTTCCTGACAACAGCTGTAAGTGTAAAGCAGTGTCTCTTGTCAGAAATAAAGGCGCTCTTTATTTCCTACCGAAATTATAGGTTCATTGTTAAATTTAAGGCAATCCCTAATGTAAGATTATTCAATACCTATTAGGATTTTAAGTACTGAAATAAATTCCTTTCATAATCTTATCAGTTGAGGGCTAAAGACTAAAGACATAAAGTGTAGAGCACAGAGCTGCCTGTGATCTCCTCGTTTCAGAACCAACTACATGATCAATAGGGGTTGCTCTGCAACACCTGAGGGAATGAACCTAAAATAATCATATTGTTCCTGACGAGAACAACTTAATCTCATGTGAAACTCTGCTTAGGTCTTTAGGCTCTACCAGTAACCTGATATGGTCTGAACTGAAAGCTAAAGTATCCTTATGGTCTTCTTGACAGATTTTAGTAGCTGAAGTCCTGTGGAGATTCAGAAACAGATCCTCTGAAGTCACTGAGTGAGAAAACAAGAGATGAGATGCTTTCCTAAAGAATCCCGTCTAAACAGTCCTGCAGTGTATTTGCTTTGCCCTGGAGAAAAATATCTTCATTTAACAGGGTCGTGGGAAAGTGTCTCCGGTGTTTCATCTTAAGATAGCAGTTGCAACATTATGAGTAACTGTAAGAAGCCATGGGTAATTCTGTTACTGTTACGTATATACAGTAAGTTAATTATGAAGTTGGCACTATGGAGTCTGGGTCATAGTATGTTTAACTACACCTGCGTTGTCCTTCATAAAATGCTTAGAGACAACAACTGAAGGGTCATTTGTCTTTTAGAGATCTAAATTTACCTGCAGGTTAACACCCTTATTTTCAGTCAACCATGTGTCAAAAAAGATGAAAAATGTCCCAGTTTTGTTACGCAATGATTTCCACTTTATATACAAAGCTCTAAATGACTCTGATTGATGGCTTCTCCGGTTTTCCCTAACAAGAAGGGCTGCATAGTTTTGGGGAAACAGTTCCCAGAGATTGAGCAGGTCTCTTCATGTTGTCATTCATCACCATTGAAAATGTCCTTTCATATGTGGCCAGTGTGGGTTTCCCCAGATGTTTCATTCTGATCATTAAGAAAGGCGGTTTGCTGTGACAACTGGGCACTGAAAGGGAAGGAATAAGATGGAACACAGCTTTCACTAAGGCTGCATTTTCAATCTCATCCAGAATGACTGTATGAGTATTTTCTGGTGGACATAAATCTGTTATGTGGAAGACTTGCAGTCCCAAAAGGATAAGCATCCAGCAGGAGGAGTCTAGAGTGGATCTCAGAATTATCGGGTACCTGGGCTATCTCATTAAACAGAAGCTGTCCATGTGCTTCTCGTTAACTATGAAGCTCACAGAATGTGGTAAATAAATAACTGTGCTTCCGTTTTATTAGCATTCGGGAGTGAGTGAATTATTAATATTTTGTGTTGTTTTCAATCCTGTCCCCAGTACCTCCAGTACCCCATCTTCATCCCATTTCCAAATCACTTAATGTTAAGAAAGGTTACTGTTCTGCTGCTGCTGCCAGCAATCTCAGCCAAGACAGTCTGACATCTTTCTCTAGACGTCTTCAGTGCAAAGTCCTTTCTGAAAAGCTGCAGAGATCTTCCATCCCTTAGTTGCTTGGATGCACTCCATCAGCAGAGTTGTGTTTGCTGGTTCAATGAGAGTTGCGGGGTTGGAGTCTGCAACTGGAGGCAAGGCCAAGGAACGGGACTTCAGATGCCAAAACATTGACACCCTCACTTCTCCACACATCTGCAAGACGCACTGACACGTGCAGGCTCCCACATGAAACACACACAGACATTCAGAACTCCCACACATGACCGAGAATCTCGGATTCCACAGGCGCTTGCAAAACAAGCCTTCAGCTTCAGAGAGTGGTGCATGCTTTTCGGAATGCAGGAATGCACGCATCTTTTATAACCTTTCCAGTGAGGATGGTTGGGAAGGGGGGTTGGGGGTTCTGTGAATATGCGACTTTTGTTTTATTTGGGGAAGTGATTTTTATGGTGCACAGCCATCATTTAGCTCCATTGTTCAAGTATCCTCCAGTACCAAAATGATAACCCCTACTGGGATGGATTCACTGTGTACTGTAAGTGGCTGCATAAGTCACTGAGTCTGTTTCAGACCATAAGCAGCCTAACAGGGCAGTTTAGGGGCAGTGAATGGCGCTAAATGATTGTCCTGGTCAATGTTACATTCATTAAACAAGTTGACATTCCTGGGAATGTCAATGGCATTTTTTTCTTCAAGAAGAAGCTGTAAGTTGAAAAAAACAGCCTGGGATGCACATCCTGATGACATTTTCTTGCATGCCTTACTGACTTTCTCCTGTTATTAACCCATGTAGAGAGTGTTGGAATTATGTTACTTACTGTAAAGCAGCCAGAGCACCATAGACTGTGAATGATGCTGTTTGCTTTTGCATTGCCTAACCTGTCTCTCTGCCATAACCTCTCTCTGCTCCTCCTCCCTCACTACCAAATTCCCTCATTTTCACTTACTTCAACTACATCAGCACATGGATGACGTTGGGCTTGTGGTCAGTTTTTTCCCTATATTTTTTTAGTTACAAGGAAGAAACCCTGAGTATTTTAAAAAATCAGTTCTGTTTTTCACCCGTTTAATAATAGTATTCATAATACGCAGTATCCTTGAGCACTTCTTTTTCCTATGTTAACAGTAACAGTAAAATATGTCTTGAGTTTCACAAGTCCATTACGCATATCCTGTACAGTTAGCCGTCCTTATCATACAATACTGAGAAACTCACACATCATAGAAGCATCAAACAGGCTTTAGATGGTGCTCTTGCAAGTGAAATTATGTAGTCAAAAGAATACATAACTATATTCAGGTATGGTTGTACCATACCTTAACCAAAACTTTAAAAAAGTACTTTGTCAAGGTGTACAAAGCATTTAATCCCATATGAACAGGGTAAATCCTGACAAAAATAACACTTGTCTTTTGCTGAGCCTTATGGTCAAACCCATAAAGTCCTTGTATCCTAGTCAGGATATATTTTGAGGTCTTGACAGAGACCTGTCCATATAAATGTACTATCAATCAAGCCTTAGAGCACTAACCTGTTTTCACACACCACCAGCTTTAAAAAGTGTTCTTGATCAGCTTGGAAAATTGATTGAGGCAAGTCACTTAATTAACTTCCATAAAATATTTAATTGTCAAATCTTCAGTACTACTTAAGAGAACTGGAGTAATTTGAAGTTACTGCCAATCCGTATGTCATGAAGCTGCGTCCATTTAAAATAAAAATGCTTTCTGTAAAACAGATGTCCACATTACATGTTATATGTTAGGTATTTAATCATTCCAGAAACTGAGTGCACCTGTTTTTAGCTTCACTGTCAAGTACAGATAATAAGAATGTGTATGACTACTGTATCAACAGAATATTTATTCAATCTTCATTTTATATCACAGTCTAAAACTTAGGAAATCTTTTCACTATCTCAGTTATTTCATACATATGCAAGGAAAGCATTGGCAAATAAATGGGACAGTATGCTTCTGGTGGTGTTCATATTTGTGTACCAGCTTTTCAATTATTTTCTTTTTCCAAACAAAAGACAGTGATACGATAAATTACACACAACTGCAAAATCAATTCTCTGATTCATTTTGTTTTATTGTTTCCAGTTAAGAGTGCTAAAGTTCATATTTTACTCATGTCAGACACATGTGGCTCAGTGCTTGCGATAAAGACCGATTTGGCACTCCCTCGTGAATCACTGTAGCCCGTTTCAGAGCCCTAATTTCACAACCTTGGACACAATAGGCTTTTGCCTCACTCATATGAAGAAACTGCACTGGCAGGACAAAAAAGTTCAAAGATAAATTAGAAGCTGCTCAAGATACAGATTCTTTCATATACATCTAACTTTTTTATGCGTTAAACACTGCCAGACATTTTTTGTGATTCGCTATGCAAACCACAGAAGCTTCAGCAGTACGATAACTGTTATTTTTTGTTTTTGTTCTTATCCCGTCACTCGAAAGTAAACTGACCACAGACTGACCATCCGCTGGGCCCCACCTTCAGCTAAGCCCCCTCTCTGCCCTGCTGTCCCACTCTCACTCCATCCCCCCACCTCCTCCGCCCCTCTCTCAGAACCCCACTCTCACATTGCACAGCCTGTCTCTCCATGACCTTGCATTATTAAATTGCACTTATCAATCATTCTTGCCAGGAATGCCATCGCCTACTACATTAAAGAAGTCAGAGAAGTCTGGTTTCAGCAGTCCCGTGCCTTCGCAGACCACCTCCCCCAGAACGGCATTTACACACCATCATCGGCCTGTCATTACAGGACCCAGAGGTGAGGTCTTCCGAGCAGCTCCAACCCCACCACCCGCCATCCCAAAACCTCTGTGACCCCCCCCAGTATCACGGGTCCTCTGTGGGCCTGGCCACGCCCGGCTGGTCAGAAAATACGCAGTCGCCCTGGTGGGACAAGTTCGGTCCCAGAGCCCAGCGCCATTCTGTGAGCTGTCTCCTAATGCAATGCAGTGTTTGCAAACATATACGGTACAGAGCCCTGCCATGTTAAGCTGAGCAGCCTGGACACCCTGCAGAGGTAATATAGCTGCAGGACAATGCGAAGCACAGAGTGGAACAAACAAAACCACACCTGCTAACTTGGCAGCTTGGCCTTGTACACCACGCAGGGCCAGACATAGAAGATATGCTGTGCAAAAATCCCAAAATTGTACCATTACCATTGATGCTCATCAAACAATGGCAGGTGCCCGGATACAGTATATGCAGTAGGTATGTATATCGTCCAAGGTCTGGAAACGCTTATTTTCTATGGGGGCTTTCCATTTTTGTTTCGCTTTCCTCTGTGGTTTAGGTAAGTATAAATAGCTTCGCTTGACTGAAAACTTTTCATTGCAAAAGCCAATGGTTTTAAAAAATGGCGGCTTGATGAATGACAACAGAAGACAGAGCAGAACTAAAAAGCCAGTGAGACTGGAAAGGCCTGCTCGTTTTTAGTTATTTCATCTAAAAAAAGCTTCCTCTTTTGTGTATCTCAATGCTTGTGTGGTATCAGTGTGGTAGTATACTGTACATTCACTCTGGAATGCTGGCATTTCTAAAACACACATGTACTGTAGCTCACAGGTTTGTGTTCCTGCTTAGACCTGTTGTTTACTGTACTGCCAGCTTTGAGCCTGATCTGTAAAGGTATCGTTTGTTCCTGTGGTTTCTGTTAATGCAACAGACTCTCTGAATTTGGATGTAAGAATGATTTTGGTTATATGGATGTCTTTGCGGCTTTTATTTTCTTCCTTTATTGATCAGCATGTGGGGTTGGTTCCTCAACTGAACCCAATAAGGATTTTTTGTTTACTGCTTTATTTTACCAGGAACTTAAAAACGGTACAAGACATGTTTGTAATCACCTCTTGCAATCTGAGGTACAACTGTGCAAATTAGCAGTCATAGTATGAATGACTTAGATTATTCAAAACAAGTTTCATGGAATGAGTCTAGTTGAATTGAAGCTGCCATTCCTAGCTGGATATGTCCTACACAGGAGCAGATAGGGAAGCTCCTGACTGGCTCCACATAGACTAACGTACTCATCACAGTCCTCCTGCTCAGTTTCAGTGGATGTCCAGCATATGTATATCACACCACCTCTTGACTGACAGTGTACGTCATGCCTTTATAAAGTCTTTTTCATGTCATAGAAGTTACTGTACATGTAAGGCCTACAGTATTTTATTCCAAAACCTTCTTTTAAAATAAATCTCAGAATTGTTACAAAAAAACAAATAATTACCAGTTAAATATAGTTTGCTATGTAATGCTCAGTAATGCTACAAAAGCCTATAATGCTAGGCTTATGTTTTCTCTGTGAAAAAGTACAGTTATTTATTTTTCAAATCCGGCAATTAGTTTTCTCTTTTAATAAAGGATATTTTGGAGTCTTGCATCTCCAGTTCAGCTAGCATAGGGCAGATTGATCAATCATTTATAATGATATCCAACTCTTTGCCACAGTGCTCTGGAGCAACAAAGAAATATACATATAACAACAGTCGACCATTGGGCATTGATCATATAAAGACTCTATAAACAGCTCATCTGAAACATGCATGAACTTCTGCTTTTTGTCACTCTGCTAACAGTAGAGCTGAAAACATTGTGTCTTTACTTTGGGTCAGTTGCAGGTACCTTTGGTTACCTTTGAAGCCACCCAATGCAGTTACTCACAGGCAGTTGTGCACTGGCGAAATTCCCAGTCTCAGACACCTAAGCACCATACTGAGCTTTGACTGTGGGCACAAGTCAGCACTCAAAACAGAGTTTTTAACTTTATTCAGCAGCCCCCAAAATGTCGCTGAGAACATTCATGTTTATCCAAACATTTCCCGGGAAGGAGAAAAGCTTAATGACGAGTTTAGACAACACATGTCTTTTTTTCCCATTTTTCATCCCTCCTGGAAGTCCACTTGTAATTTTATATTAACCATTAATTTTTTTATTGATAAAAAGCTTGCAAATAAGCTCCGTCTAATATTAATTATGCTGAGTCTACATAAAATTGCAGGGCTTGATGACCAGATCGCAATGTTGAAATGAGCTGGCCCACACTGGCTCTCCCATCCATCTGCTGTGCAAAGAGCATATTAAGCTGAGAAGGTACACATTTGGAAGATTAAACCCTGCTTATCTCATAACATTTTGACCCAGATAGGTATAAAGCTGGGGCTTGCAGGATTAGCTAATGTCAGTTGTATCACTCGCAAACTGGGATATTATGTGTCGTCCATAAAAAAGAGAGTTCTTACAAAAGAGATTTTCTTCTCTATTGAGATACACTGAGGGAGGTTTCAGCCTTGTGACACTGAGAGACCATTCCGATCAGTAAAACTCACACAGTAATATAGCAGCATTCTGTATCATTGAGATTGACTGTATTTTTTATCACCTTATATCCCTTAAGCAAAGTGCTTACAGTATGTATCTGCGGGTTGCTGTTATTTAGTTGTCTGACACTTTTATTGCTTGTCTGACATTTTTATTCAAAAGAAGTTGCATTAGTACCCATGTCCATACTGCTCCAAGGTGTAACAGCTGCACCTGTGACCCAGCTGCAATTTCAACCCCACAACCTTCCAGTTACAAGGCCCGGGGCAATTGCCTACAACTCCTGCCAGTTGTGCTGCCGGTGTGAGGATGCAGCTGGACTAGGAGTGGATCAGTACCGAAGGTCAAGCGCTGACCACTCATCCTGAGCTATGGATCGAGGATAGTTAGACAAAACAGCACATCTGCCAAATTGTGTGTGCCCCTATGAGGAGCCTGCCCCCTGGTTTCGCTCCCCAAATCGCATGTGGTAGAAATCCCAGAACAAAACAAATAGAAAAGGCAGAACTGTTTGGCGTGTGTGCTAATGCTCCCTGATGGTCACTGCCATTGAGGAGCTCTTGCTCACTCACTGATGCACACACAGCCTACAATGGCATTTGTGAATGCAGTTTGATTTGTGTCTCTCGCCTGCTCCAACGGATACAAAATAGTGCTGCTCACACAACTTTATTCGGCAACAAAGAAGGTGTAATCAATCTGATTACCATTTCTTCCTCAGAGCAATACAGAATCCAATACAACAGATGTGTATCTTCCGAAAATTAACCTTACTGCACAGTATGTTGCTTAATTTAATTTGCATTGCATTTCCAAGTCTGTATGCAGTATATATGTCTAAAGCCTTCACAAAATCACCACTATAGAACTTTAAAGGGTTGCCTTGCAAAGATTTGTTTACATTAACATGCATGAAGCTGTTACCATCAGGAATGATGTGATTGTGTCTGTCAAGTGAGGTTAGTACTGTATCGGTGCTGATCAGCCACACCAGGACTAACTACTACAGACTAACAAAAGCCACACAACAGGAATCGGTGCTGATGGGCTGCAATGCCTCTGTGTTGCAATGGGAGGCACTGTGTTGCAGGTGGCGTGGTGTTTCAGAAGAAATACTTCAGTGAGCTTCAGTTGTACTCTGTGGAATGAAAAATCCCAACTTAATTTGTCTGCTTTATTTCAAATTTCAAGGAAAAAATATTCTCTCATCCAATTGATACCTAACATAATTGTGGATGAGAGAATACACCTGTTTGCACCTGGTCCTGACAACATATTTGCTAGCAGAAAAAGAGGTTTTGTTTTTTTAAGCATAGCCACCAGGGTACCTTATATCTTCTTCAGGAAGCCTGGCAGTAAGGCATGAAGCAGTGAACCAACAAGATTTGCAAAGTGGAACTAATCCTGGACCTTTTATATGAGCCATGCTGCCCTCATACAGACGGGCCACAATGGAAAAGCTAGGCAGCTCCAGCCAGCTGTCTAAAACAGCCTCTTCAGACGTCATTATCATTTACATATCTCTTGTCAAAGCTGCTCGTTGGTCTCAGATTAACGAGCAGGCCACCCACTGGGAGCCTCTCATAAAGAGTTGCCACACCACAGTTGAATTTCATGTAACACCCAATAATTACGCCGTAAACTCCTGACTAACAGCCCTATTAAACCCATAGTGGGTGCCCCAGTGTGTGTGGGGTTCACTTTCCCCCCTCTCTGACAGGTCCCAAGGTGTGTCTCTCTCCTGAGCAGAGTGACAAGGAGAAAAGCACTTGTTAAAGATTCCTGTGGGGATAGAAGTAGTTCTGCTTCATAGGAAGGGAGTCTCTGCAACTCCCTGGAAAGGCGGCTTTGATATCCCATCTGTTTTGATCACATACTGTATTAGGGGATCTGAGCCCGACTGATTGTCTCGCCTTGGGTGTTCACGATTGATCAGCAGTGGGAAGCGTTAAGAAAACTGGACGCTTCAGCAGTACAGATTTAGACAAGCTTTAGAGCTTGTATTGGTCTTTTGTGTTCATACTGTGCACACTTCTTGTTTCCACTGTTTTCCTGTAGTTTTCTCAGTGCTGGATTCTGGATTTTTGTCAGCCTTGTCTGTTTCCAGAGAAGTTTTTAATTGAATCACAGAGCAACTGTTTCATGGTTAACATTAATGTTCCTTGATTTCTGCTTAGGGTGAGAAATACATTGAAACGTCCATGGTCTTTAGATAAATAACCAAACTTAAAGTACACCGGTAGAAATGACAGTGAAGTGGAATTAAAACTAAGAAAAATAGGCACTTTTTATACAAGGGGTTGTAGAAGCATGGAACAAGATACACAGCCACGCTTCTTTCTAGAAAGGGCTGGAAGAAATGTGATAATCAGAACTGGTTGGGTGTCTTTACACAAAGGGTGGGGGGAGTATGGAACAAGCTATGTACCCATATTGCTG